AAACTCACAGGGACCAAAAAAAAAACTCAAAATTTGGCTTAATTAAAAACCCTACTTAACCCTACGAGAGACAACTCCATGTGACCCATAAATCCTCTTGGTTTCGAAACCCTAAACCCACAAAAGCAAACCACAAATGATCAGTCCCTTGGAACCCCAATTATTTGCAAAGATTTGTCGACGGAGATCATCTCAAGAAATGGTGAAATGAAAACAACACAGGCCAAAGCTGGCGGAACAATTTCTGAGCACACCCAGAGTAATCATTCAGAATGGAAATCACACGAACAATGACACACGTGTCGGCAAAAAACCTCAACAAATAAATGGCTTTCAAAGGAAATATACAGATATAAGAATTTCACTTAGTTTAATGCGTAATAACACTTGATATTAATTTTAGTTTAAAAGAATTAAAGATATTTATGGCATTCATTTTAAAACAGTAATTACTCATATTTAAAAATATAATTTTTATTAGAGTATTATACATTCTTATATTCAAAATATAAAATATAAGAACTTCAAGTACTAGTTTTCTCTTTGAATTAATTTTAATTTTTTATTTTTTTAAGTGTTGTCAAAAGCAGTAACTTAGTGAGATTATTTTTTCTTTTCTTTTTGTTTACTTTTTCTAAAAATAAATAAATAAAATTTATTTTGATTTATTTCTTTTCATATATTTTTAATGTGTTTTTGTGTGACATGTTTGTTCTTCTACTTTTATAATATTTTAAGATAAAAATGTTATCTAAGGTATGAATCTAAATTCTGACATGTTTTTATTAATAAAATAATCATTAACAATGAAAAATAAAAATCAACACGATTTTCTGAATAGCTAGTTGAGAATATAATTTACACAAAAAATTAATTCTCAAATTAAAAATTAAACCTACATTTTGGAATTTTGTGTGCGTACAAAAAACAAAGAAAAACAAAAGGCATGAATAAAAAGGGTCACTTTCTCCCAGTGTTTAATTTTAGTATAAATACAAGCATATCTGCTGGTGCAAAGATTCATCCACTTTTCTTTCTTGTCTTTGATTCCCTGTGTACTTCACTGTCGAGTGATCTCCTTGTTTTAGTCGATGGAAGAAGCTTTTAAGAAACTAAATGGCATCAGTTATGTCTCCGAGCCTAATCCTGGAGACTCCATCAACTATCCAAAGAAGTGCGCCGCGTCAACTGATACTGCCGTTCCCGCTACGACAACTAATACCACCGCCACCACCACAACGGCGACGAACAAGTGGTCTCTCAAAGAAAACGGCAGCTCCGGTGGAACCATGAGGTACCGTGGGGTTCGTCGCAGGCCGTGGGGGCGTTATGCTGCTGAGATACGAGACCCGCAGTCGAAAGAACGGCGTTGGCTCGGAACTTTTGACACCGCCGAGGAGGCTGCATGCGCCTACGACTGTGCTGCTCGAGCTATGCGTGGGATCAAAGCTCGAACCAATTTCGTCTACCCGGCGACCGAGCCACACTCGGCGAGCGACCATTTCCTTCCACTTTTTAGCTTCTCCAAGCAGTCACATTCATCCATCAGGGATCTTAACTGCATCCGTCATCAGCACGGTCAGTCTTTTAATTGGCCACCGTTTTCTAGCCCACACGCCGGAGACTTCTCCGTCGGGTCTTCTACTCAAAGAAACGCTTCTTCTGTGAACATGGTTTCATTCCGCGAACTCTTTGATTCATCTTCGAATCCATCTTTCCACGCGCCTCCTCCTCATGACCATTTTCCATGCATCAAGGGAAGTAGAACTTGTGCTTCTTCGTTACCTTTCACTTTCTCAGCTAATTCAAGCGTTTTGCCTACCATGTCCGATTCCTTCTCAGGCTCCACCATGACTCTCCCTCTCATCAAGGAAACCAATTCGAGTAACGCAACCGTTGATGACATGGAATTCTTTCCACAAGAACCTTCTGATTCCGGCTTATTGCAGGAAATAATTCAAGGGTTCTTCCCAAAGAAATCAGACGACCGTACCAGTACCTCGAACTGCACTCAACATTCCCTAGCAGCACCGGTGACCGATAATACATCATTCGGTCACTCCCTGAGCGGGTTGGAGCATTCTGTTTTTTATGCTGATTACAATCAAGGGTTTCTTCAGCAGGTTGAGTGTTTCAACGGCGTCCCCGGCTCTCCGACGGTGCCCAACGCTAATGAAATACCAGTGAAACATCTACAGGTAGATCAAGACTGCTTGTTAGATGATATCTTTCAGTACCCAGAGTTCACGGGTGCCTTAGCAGCTAGGGTTCAAAATGCTTGAAACTCACCCTTATGCACTGTTTAGGGTTTCAAGGTTTTTAGGTACATGGACTGGGATACTAAAATCATCACGTTTCTTATTACATATGATGATATCATAATCGTCATATCTTATAGTTTTTATATAACATGTAATGGACGAAATCGTAATGCATTGCTGATTATGTTTCCTCTTATTTTTAACGTATAGTATGTAACTTCCTTTTCTTCTGCATTAGCGTTGGAAATAATAAAGAAAAACAGAGAGTAACAGTATTTCTTCTTTAGTGGAAACATGTTCCGAGCGATGATAGTTTTGAATCGGGTGGGGATAGTTGACCTTGGAACTCTAAAGCCCTGCTTGCATACATTATACCTCTTATTCTTTTAATATAACACTTTTTTTTAATATATTTAATATAAAAAAATTAAAATCAAATGTGCAATTAATCAAACCTTAATCAATAACTATACTATTAAACCGGCGTATTTATTAGATATAATGTAAAAAAAATCAAAACTTGAATTTTATTAAAAAAATTCGGTCGATTGAATAATAATTTAATTCAGCTTCCGATTTAATGTACTGAGACATGTAGTACTGGAATAAATTTGGGTGTAGCAATCTCATGAATAATAATTTATTCGTTGCCGTTGTTTTAAATGTGCTCAACGGTATCATAGACGTGAGCCGTCGAGAGATCGTAGGTGGAAACGGGAAGCTTATTCCACCTCCACACTCTTCATGCCCAGCCTTAGGCCATCTAATTCAACTCTTTTTTTATTTCCACACTTAACTATCTCGTCTCATTAGTTAATGTAATTAACATGTTTAAGTGTAGACCCATACATTCAAATTTAAACGTAATTGACTGTTGTGGTTTTGACCTAAGCAGTAATAAATATCTTAAATATATCATCTTTTCTCTTTCACATCCTATTTTCACTTAATTTAGGTGATGCATGAAAACATTTTTTAACTGTAAAAGTTGACTTACACTTTTGATTATAGGAGAGAGGTGATTAATGAGTTGAGTAGTTCGAATTCGACTCGGTCAAAGTTTAGTAACATCTCAATCCGAGTTGATTCAATTCGAATTCGAACTCGAGCTCGACTTGAGATCTTAAAAAGTTGAATCGAGTAAAGTCCAACTTGACTCGATAAGTTCGCGAACAGATTGTTAATTTATTATATATTTTTTTAATAGTTATCTTAAAAAAAAATATTTCATTAAAAATACTAATTTACTTATATACAATAAAAATAATAAATTACTAATCTATTACTTTCTAATAAACAACAACAAAATACTAAATTATTAATTAATATTTGACTATACGCAAAAACCAAAATCTATTTATTATTTTAATATATTTGTTGATTGTTATTTTGGAATTTAGACTTTGAAATTGTTTCATACACTTTTTTTAATATTTTTAGTTAAATCTATTAATTTATTTTTATATTAAACTAACCATATTATTAGTAAATGTTACCTATAATTAAGAAAATAAGGTGAAAATTTTGATGATCTTAATGAGCAGCGAAGCGAGCATCGAGCTTAACGAACAACGAGTAGAAAAATAAGTTTTCTTTAAATAGCACGAGTCAAGTAAAATTTTAATGATCTTAATGAGCAATGAGTTGAGTACAGAATTTTTTAACTAGTACGAATCGAGCACTACCCAACTCTCGACCGACTCGCTTGATAAATATCTCTATTTTGATCATTTGGTACCATCATAATTGCTTTAATTGTTAGTATTATCCACCCATTCAAACATTTAATTCTTTCAAATGTTTGAATTTTGAATACGTTTTTTTTACTGTGAGTGAGGGCGTTATCATACGCTTTAACTATAATAATTTACTATAAAATTATAAGAAAAATTTAGTTGGGACCATTGTTTAGCAGTAGGAGGACAAACGGGGCAGCCCCTAGTTGAGGGGGTGGCTAATGTTGCGAGTCAATTAAATTATGTTTTCTTTCATCTAAACCTCTATTATCTAATTTCTTAATCTCCATATCCCATAATAATCAACCGTAATGTTAACATTATAAAGCACCGAAAGATCGTCCAACGCATGAGTTGTTTTCTACATGTGTTTTAAAATGTCAACATCGTCCTTACTGCGGTAAAAGGAGGAAAGAAAACTACGGTAATTAATTAATTGATTGGTTGCTTCACCATCTAGGGTTATGCATGGTAATTACTTGACTGTCATCTGAAAAACACAAAATATCACCACAATCAGAATTATATATCAAAAAGCATGTAAACTCAACATATTAAAAAAATGATGCCTGCTGAAGCAGCACACTCTGGGGTATTTGCTACAGGTAGTCTTCAAGTCTACATTGTTTGCAAGAATAGAACAACATTTTTGAGGGAACGATCCTCTAAAAAATGGTGAATTATGAGAAAATTTAAAGCAAAAAAAAAAATAACGTGTTACTCAAGCAAACCAACCTATCACAAACCATAGAAAAAAAAAGCAACTTTGCTGGATGAAATGGTTTTGGACTATCAATATTATAAATTTGATGAAAAAGGATTTGGTCTCGTATATCCCGTTTGATGATCTTTTTTTTTTCTTTTTTAAGTGGTTGAAGCATTAAGAAAAGTGATAATTTTGTAGGTGGGGGAGTTAATGGACTAGATTGTAGATCCCGTGACAGCCCAATTGTGTCTTTTCTTATTTTTAGCCATTACCAGTTGTGTCTCTCTTCTCTTCAACTCTATTGCAGACTCAACCAATTGTGGATCATTTGTTCAAGTTCCAGGCCATTCAAGACCCTTGTTAGAGGTGCAAAAAATCAGTATATTTTCCATCTTCACTTATTAAATTGGTGTCATGTTGATCAAGTATTATGCTAATTGTTGAACCCTGGCAGGAGAAAGTAAACAAATGTCAAAGAAGGATCTGAAGTTGGAGATTCCGCCGGAGACTGAAACGATAACAGGAGACGCCGTAGAGTCCCATGCGCCAACGCTGGCATCAGGGCAAGGGCAAGGTCAAGGTGCACCAGGACTTAGTCGGCAGCCGAGTATGACAAAGAATAATTGCCTATGCTCTCCGACTATGCATGCCGGATCGTTCCGTTGCAGGGTTCATCGAGCACCGACTCTACAACGGACCAAAAGCATCGAGTCTCAATCCGCAACCGTTGATGATAACACATCTAAGCCCAGCTCTGCCACTGAAGAATAATGTAGCAATAGTGCCAAATGTATGGGGCATCAATAATTTCTGTGTATGATTGACTCTTGTTGATCCTACCGACACTGCTAAAATAATTTCATTTGCTCGGCATTAACTATTGTATTTGTTGTCTTCTTGGAGCATTTACTCCATCTCTATTGTTGATTAAATATTTTCCAGTTATACTGATTCATACACGTAAATATTGTATCGTTTTGACAGATTTATCACATTAATTATAAGGAAAGAAAAATGTATATAACAGTAGGAGCTGAAATATGGCATGGAGCCCATGATAAAAGATCTTAACAGTGCCTGGATTGAAGTAATCGGAGCAGAGGAGATGTGAACTGCCAGAATGAAAAGACAAATGGGCGCTCATTGCAGTGGATAGAGTTTGCGGATGCTGATTTATTTGCCTACCAGAAGATGCACGAATCGCCATCTTTAAGCCTCTTCCACCCTTTGAATCCTCACAAGCTTTAGATACAACTGAAATTTCAGATTGGTTGATAAAATAAGAAATGTCTAATTATTGGATTTATAATTTTCCTTTCATATTTATATGCTTTTACTCACTAAATTGAAAAAGATTATATATATGAGTGATTTATATTATCGATTTATTAAACTCTGATCATTTACGCCACCGATTGTTACATTTTAGTCAATGGACCGTTAATTCTTGTTAGTTTGATGATATTACACGTTAGCAAAACAAGAATAATTTTTAGTTTAATCTCTAAATGGTAGATTGAATATTAATTTGACCCTAAATTTTAGATGAAATTCATTTTGACCTTTAAACTTTAAATAAAATATCAATTTGACCTCTAAATTCGATCAAAGTTTTCCTTAGTCGGTCACTGCCCTAAATTAGTCATGTGTTATTATTTTAAAGGAATCTTACCGATAAATTTGTTATTATAATTTCATTTTAAAGGATGTCAAAGCACTTAGTTTAGATTTGTCGAATTTAGGATATTTTGGAGTGAAACGGACACCAAATTCGTGTTTAAGAGGTCAAAACGTGTTCATTAAAATTTTGGGATCGTTAGACGACCGATATCGACCAAAGGTTACCGACGATGATAGTGGTGAACGGTAGCCGGCAACAAGAGATTTTAGTTGAATTTAGGGGTTAGATTAATATCTTATCTAAATTTTAAGGGTCAAAATGATATTCAGGTCATCAAACTAACTTCAGTTAATAATTTAGTGACTAAAATATAATAATCGATAACATAAGAAATAAAATTTAATAAATCAATAATGTAAATGATCAAAATATATATATTTTTAATTTGATGAATAAAATTGTACAAATATGAAAAAAAAAATTGATCAATCCAATAATTTACCCATGAGCAAAGTTATGCTTGGGGCATTGTCCTTTTTTTATTATATTAAAAAATATACGAGTGCACGAACCAAGTGATCTTGGTGGTAAAAGAATGCAAGAGGAATGAATGTTCAGTGTCAAATGATTAAGAGTTATCTGTAAACAAAATATTACATTGTACTGACCACATGTTAATCAAAAACTAAAATATATATGAATAAATATCTAATTAGGCCTCCTAATTTTAATGCATTTTTATTTTACCTCTATTTTTATATTATTAAATATATTTGACCCCTTTATATCTAGGGATGACAATTTAAAAAAAATCCGATGGGTTCCGACCCGACAGGGTTGTTTTTTTTAATTTGGATTCAGGTCAGGTCAGGTCAGACTTTTTAAGGGGGTTGGGTCAGGTTCTGGTGAAAAAACTCTGACCCGACCTGACCCGACCCAAGGATAATAATGTAATTTTATTTAAAAAAATATTATTTTTAATTAAATCCTTATTTTTTATCGGGTTGGGTCAAATTTATACTCTGAAAATTTGGATCGAGTCAGAGTCGGGTGCAGAATATATATTTTTCGGGTTAGGTTGAGGTTATATAATTTTCGGGTCAGGTAGGGTTCGTATGGAGGATACATATTTTTGGGTCGGGTTGACAAAAAAACTCAACCCTAACCCCACTTATTATCATCTCTACTTATATCTAAACTCCGTTCCTAAATTTACTCAATAAGAAAATCTCCATTAAAAAGAAAGATTATGTTCAGAGTTTTTTTATTAAATTAGAGTGGGATAGTATTCTAATAAGGGTTGTAAATGAAACGAGACAAATCATGAGTTATTCGAGATCTGCTCAGTTAAAGTTCAGTTAACACTCAAAACGAATAGACTCGATTCAAGCTTGAACTCGATTTGAGTTCTTCACCAGTAAAATCGGACTACTTGATACCCTACTCGAAAAACTAGCGAGCAACTCGAAAAAAATATATTAAAATTTTAATTTTTTACTTAAATATTAATAATATTAACATTATATGTTGTATTTTATAAGGTTTTCATGAACTTAAATTTTAGGTTAAAGCTCGAGTTTAAGCTTCAATCTAGCTAAGTATGAGAATATTTTGAGTTCATTTATTTTGAAGCTCGAGTCAAACTTTAATTTTTGATTTTGAATGCGAGTCGAGTTTGACAATTTTAAACTTTTCAAATCGAGTCGAACTTGACAGTACTCGAACTCGACTCAGTTCTTTTCGAGCCTTAATTCCAACTTTGAAAGAGTACTACTATCAACCTAACCATTAGGGCAATAGATTCATGTTCATATTAGAGTGAAATAGTATTGAAGGATACTACGTGGCGTGTGAGCTGTTAGGAAGTTAGATGTTGTTAGCTGAGCAGTTAGGGTTAGTTGTAGTTAGTTGGGTTGTTAGACTAGCTTTGTAAAACCCTATAAAAAGTCTTGTACTTGTACTTGAAAAAACACGTGAAATATATTCATAACTTTACGAGTTATTTACTGAAATATCTATTCTCTTCTAGTATTTCATCATGGTATCTTTCACTAAAGTTTATGGGAAGTTTTTCTTCGCTGCTTAGGGTCGTTCACCATGTTACCTTGTGCTGATTTTCCTTCTCAAATGGAGTTCTCTTCGAGGAATGTTAAGTTGTTCACCAACAAGAAGGTCAATGTGATTCTTGATGAGATTAACTTCCTTTTGTGGAAGTAACAAGTCTTGCTTATGGTGCGAAGTCATCGGCTAAAACGTCTACTGACAGGTTCGATGAAATCTCCGCCTGAGACTGTGGTTAATGATAAAGGTGAAACAATTCCTAATAATTTGTATGAGAAGTTTATGGCGATGGAAAGTGCTCCCTCGTCTTGGTTACTTTCAATGATTAGTCCTCAAATTTTACCTCAGTTTATAGGTACAGAATCAGCGTAAGTTGTCTGGAGTACGGTACTACAATTTTTTGCCAACCATTCCACAACCGCTATTATAAGTCTCCACTATAACCTTATGATGATTCTATGAGAGTTTATCTCACTTGTGTAAAAGAAGTTTGTGATGTGTTGGCTTCATGTAGAAGTGTGATTCCACATGCAGAGGAGGTGACGAATTGAAAGGGATGCCTCGCTAGTATCATCCGTTCGTGGTGGTTATAACTACAACAAGGGAATCTTTAACCCTTAAAACGGTGTACACCATGCTCCTGGATGTAAAAACTCAATTGGCTGGTTTTAGGGGTCATCTTGACACTCTGTCAATGAATGCAAATGTTACTCAAGGGAAAGTCTTAGACAGATGAGCTGGTGTGAGTTATTAACATGATCATAAGGCTTATCGGTCGTCATCTTATTCTGGTGGGTGATCTGGTGGTAGAGGCTAAGGATGCATTCGGGTGCAGTGTCAACTCTATGGTAAGAATGGACATCTTGTAGATCGATGTTGGCACTGTTTGATAAAGAGTTTCTTGGTGTTATATTTAGTAGTAGCTCGAGTTCTAAAAAGGAGTCTGAAAGTATTTACTGTTCCATATGTGAAAACAAATATGCTAAGTGCTATCAGGCTTGAAATAACGGGTATCAGGTGAATTTACAGCCTCAAGCGTTTCTTTCAATAACAGCTCCTGGGGTAGTGGACTCTGGTGCCACACACCATTTTTACGCCTAATGAAGTAAATCTTGGGCATAGGGTTGACTATAATAACCAGGTAAATTGGTTTTAGAAGACGGTGTTACTTTAGATGTTAAATCGATTGGTAATACCACTTTATGTTCTTCTCTCATGCTTTGTGATTTACTGATTTGTTGTATGTACCAAGAAGAACCTTCTATCCGTATCAAAACTTGTTAGGGATAACAATTTTTTTAGTTCCATGCACATGAATATTGTGTTCGCGATGAAGTTTATGGTGATGTACTTCTTCGAGGGAGAGAGGATGGTGGTCTCTATTCGTTTGTTGCAAATCAAGGAATTAGTGTTTATGTTAGGGAAGAAGCTAACTCGGTGGTTGCGTCTCTAGACACCTACGAACTCTAGCATCGACATTTAGGGCATCCCTCACATGATAGTTTAGTTAAAGTTTATAAATAACTAAATATAAATATTACAAATAACATAAATAAAACTTGTGTTGCTTGTCACATGGAAAATAGCCACAAATTATCGTTTCAAGATTCTCATACTATGTATGTCACTCCATTTCAACTTGTGTTTACAAACCTATGTAGTCATTCTCTTGTTGTTTCGAATGGGTTTAAACACTACATTAACTTTGTTGATGCGTGTACAAGACATACTTGGTTATATTTTCTGAAGGATAAAGAGCATGTTACCACAACGTTTGGCTTTCTCTAAAAAATGGTCACGACTCAATTTGGTTTACTTATCAAAGTAGTCCAAAGTGATCGGGGAGGAGAATATAAGAGCTTATCAGGTTGATTAGTGAAAGATGACATCAATAATCGTGTCACTTGCCCTCACACCTTGTATCAAAACGATGTAGTGGAGCTCAAACATCGGTATATCATCGAGCTAGCCTTGGTTATGCTCGCTCAGTCGTTCATGCGAGTAAGGTTCTGGTCTTATGCAGTGGTCACAACGATATATCTTATTAACATATTGCCAAAAAGGGTTCTGCATTGAATGTCACCCTTTGAGAAACTCTTTAGTAAGAAGCTAGAGTATGGGATATTAAAGGTGTTTGGGTGCATATGCTTCCCACACCTGAGGCTGTATCTAAAACACAAGTT